CTTGGAAGAAATACAGCCAGAATGTTCCTTAGAAGCAAGATGGTCAGACTTTGTCTCATGTACTTTGGACATGTTATCAGGAGGTACCAGTCCCTCGAGAAGGACATCGTGCTTGGTAAAGTAGAGGGTCAGTGAAAAAGAGGAAGACCTTCAATGAGGTGGATTGACACAGTGGCTGTAATAATGGGCTCAAGCTTAACATGAATTGTGAGGCAGTGTTTCGTTCTGTTGAACACAGGGTCACTATGAGTCAAAATCAACTCAATGGCACCCGACAACAGCTACAACAAGGTTTATTTGAATCAGTATCCAAACAATGCCCTTATTCTACAACTGGTTGATGTATCTCTTAAGTTTTTTTTTTTTTTAGTTCATAGGTTTTTTTCTCTCTCTCTTTCTCTTTGTCTCTCTCTTTCCAATGTATCTGTTGAAGAAACCAAGTTGTTCTAGAGAGTTTCTTTCTCATAGTCTTGATTTTGCTGACTGCATTTGATCTATCCAACATTTCAAATATAGTGCCCTGGGTCTCAGTCCTTAAAACTCACCTAGTTTCTCCCTAGCCTCACTTTCTTGGTGATTTCGTCTTAGTTTATGGGTTTAAACATATGTCAAATACCATATATACCATCTCTCTCCAGTCTGGATTTCTTCCCTACACTGCAGACCCAAATACCAAACTGCCTTCTCACTATCTCCACTCTGATATTTATTTAATAGGTACCTCAACTTAGCATGTCCGAAACTGAGCTCTGGGACTTCTCCCTGAAACCTGTGTCTCTCATGGTTCTCCCATCGCCCATCCTTCTAGATGATCAGGCCCAAGTCCTTGGAGTCATCTATGATTTCTCTCTCCTTTTTATTCCTCACATCCAATATGTTGGCTCTGCCTTCAAAATATCTCTGGAATCCAACCACTTTGCTCCACTATTTATGGTCTGAGGCCAAGGTATTATCATCTCTTACTTAGATTGGTCATCCTGCTTCAGCCAATGCCCCTTTCAATGTATTTTCAACAGAGCAATCAGTATGATTGATACAGTTAAAAGCTAGAGCATGCCACTGTTTTGCTCAAAATCCTTTGGTGGTTCCCCTTTCCCTCCAAGTGGAAACTATAATCCTTACAATGGCCTTAAAGGCCCCACTCACTCTGGCACCATACCTCTCCCATGTCATCTCATATTGCTCTCACTGCACTCACCTGTTCCCCACCACACTGGCATCCTTGTGATTTATTGAACATTCACACTACTGTCCTCTTTCTGGAACATTCTTTTCCCAGATATTCCCATGATTCATTCCTTCACTTCCTCAGGTCTCTACTTAAATGTCATTCTCTCAGGTCTTCCCTGACCAACTGTCTGCAATAGCACTCACTCCCTTCTGTGCCTCTTTCACCTGCCCTGCTTTATTTTTACTAATATTAACTTATTTTATCCTCATATTCTATGATGCAGGTACCATTATTAACTTCATCTTACAAATGAGGAAATTGAAGCACAGAGAGATTAAGTAACTTGCCCAATGTCACACAGCTAGTATAAGTAGCAGAGAGATGGAATTCAAACCAGGTAGTCTGACTCCATAAACCAAACCACGTGCTGTTGAGTTGAATCAGACTCATGGTGACCTCATTTGTGTCAGAGTAGAACTGTGCTCCATACAGTTTTAAGTGACTGTGATCTTTTGGAAGTAGATTGCGAGGCCTTTCTTCTGGGATGCCTCTAGGTGAATTCAAACCACCAAACTTTTGGTTAGTAGCTGAGTGCTTAACCGTTTGCACTGGTCCATGCATTTACCTTTTCTTTTTAAAATAAACTTTCGTGAGGTATAATTTACATACAATAAAATGCACTCATTTTAAGAGTACAGTTTAGTGAGATCTGCATAACCACCACCACATTTAAGATACAGAAATTTCTATCACTCTAAAAAGTTCCCTTATGCCTCTTTGCAGTAAACTGCCCCCAACCCACCCCAGTAGAGTCCAGGCAACTTCTGTGTTGCTTTCCATCACTGTAGAGTATTTTCTAGGGTAAGAATTTCATACAAATGGAATCATGTAATGTATACTTTTTTTTATTACTGGCTTCTCTTGCTTGGCATAATGTTTTTGAAGTTCATGCGTGTTGTTGCATGTATCAGTAGTTTATTTCTTTTACTATGCACATAATGTGCCTTTTTTCTTTGAGTGCTTTAAAAAAACTTTTTATTTTGAAGTAATTATAGATTCAGAGGCAGTTGCCAAAACATGTACAGGGTGGTCCTATATACTCTTCACCCAGTTTCCCCCAGTGGTTACATCTTGCATGACTATAGTACAGTCAACACCAGGACATTGACATTGGTACAATCCACAGAGTTTATTCAGATTTCATCAGTTTTACCTGCACTTCCTGTGTGTGTATGTATATATAGTTTTAAAAGAAATTTTTGTCGCATGTGTAGATTTGTGTAACCACTACCCCAATCAAGATACAGAACTATTCCATGACCACAAGGCTCCTTCATTCTACCCCTTAGTAGTCACACCTCCCTCTCTCCCTGGAAACCACTAATCCTTTCTCCATCTCTATAATTTTATTATTTCAAGAATGTTGTAAAAGGTTACATACATTATGTAACCTTTTGTGATTGGCTTTTTTCACTCAGTGTAATTCCCTTGATTCCATCCAAGTTGTTTCATATATCAATAGTTTCTTCCTTTTTATTGCTGAGTAGCATTCCATGGTGTGGATGTACCACATTCTAAACAACAGAATTTAACTATTCACCCGCTGAAGGACATTTAGATTGTTTTCAGTCTTGGCTGTTATGAATAAAACTACTATGAACATTTGTGTATAGTTGCTTATGTTTTTGTTTCTCTGGGATAAACACCCAAGAGTGCAATTGCAAATGCATGCTTTGTTTTATAAGAAGCCACTAAACTACTTTTTCAGAGTGAGTGTGCCATTTATATTCCCACCAGCAATGTGTGAGTAACCCACTTTTTCTGGATCCTCTCCAATATGTGGTTTTATCACTATTTTTTTGTTCCAGCCATTCTGATACATTTGTAGTGATATTGTAATTTTAAATTTTCCAAATGACCAATTAAAACTCTATGGATAACAATGGCCCAATCCTCAATCCATAATGGGGATGGCACAGGGCTGGGCATTGCTTCATTGCATTGTGCATGGGGTCGCTATGAGTTGGAGGCTGACTTGATGGCAGCTAACAGCAACAACTAATGGTGCTGAATGTCTTTCCAAGTGATTATTTTCCATCTGTATATGCATTTTGATGAAATGTCTGTTGATGTCTTTTGACCTTTTTCTGATTGGATTGTTTGGATTTTTTTTACTGTTCAGTTTTGAGAGTTCTTTATATATTCCAGATACATGTCCTTTGTTAGATTTTTTTTTTTGTCATTAGTTTTCAGCAATTTGACTATGATGTGCCTTAGCCTGGTTTTGTTCATATTTCTTTTGCCTGGGGTTTGCTGTGCTTCTTAGATCTGTGGGTTGATAGTTTTATCAAACTTTAAAAAATTTTGGCCACTATTTCTTCAAATATTTTTTTTTCTGCTACTCCTTCCTTTCTTGGAACTCCAGTTACGCTTATGTTACATAGCTCAATATTGTCCCAGAGCGCTCTTCACTTTTTTGTCTTTTTACCCTGTATTTTATTTTGGACAATTTCTATTGCTATGGCTTCAAGTTCACTGATCTTTCTTTCTGCAATGTCTAATCTGCTGTTAATCATATCTAGCTTATTTTTAAATTTCAGATATTGTATTTTTCATCTCTAAAAGTTCCATTTCGGTTCTCTTTTGTATCTTCCACATTTTTCATTAACATACTCATGCTTTTCTCTACTGTCTCGAATGTAAAGTATGTTTATAATAGCCATCCTTGTCTGCTAATTCAACAATCTGTGTCATTTCTGGGTATGTTTCTGTTGATTTGTTTTTTTCTCCTGGTAATGGATCATATTTTCTTGCTTCTTTGTATGCCTGATAATTTTTGATTGGATGCTGGACATTTTGGATTTTACATTGCTGGTTACTGGATTATATGATATTCTCTTAAATATTGTTGGAGTTTGTTCTGGGATATAATTAAGTTACTTGAAATCAGTTTTATCCTTTCAAAACTTGATTTTAGGCTTTGTCAGGGAAGGTCCACAGCAGACCGTAGTTTAGGGCTAATTTGTTATTGAGGCAATACTCTTCTGAGGATTCTCCCTGAAGGGAAGAATTTTCAGCACTGTGTGGGCTCAAAGAATTGTTCTATATACTGGAGGTTCTTTCTCCAGCCTCAAATGATTTCTTACATGCATGGGCAGTTAAGTATTCAGCCAAGGACTTAAAGGTACACTTCTGCCAGTCCCCAGAACTCCCTGTCTGTGCAGCTCCCTCCTCTCCAAATGTTCTTCTCTGTGGATTCTAGCTTCTTTGACTCCCAACTGTATCTCTTCAACTCAGCAAGACCTCCAGGCTCTGTTTGGAGTCCCTTCATTGTGCAGTGGCCTGGAAACTCCCAGCCAGTCAGCTGGAGCAATTGTAGGTCTCAGTTTATTTGTTTCCCTTCTCTCAGGGATCTCAGTCTTGTGCTACCTGTTGTCCAATGTCCCAAACTTTTGTTTAATATATTTTTGTAGGTTTTCTAATAAGGCAGGAGAGTTTATCCCTGGTCAATTACGCCATCATGACTTTTTTTATTGGTGAAGTTTCAGTTTGTATCTTTTTTCCATTAACTTATTTGTCGTCTTCTTATTGAATTCTAAGACTTCTTCTTACATTCTGATACAAGTCCTTTGTCAAATATAACAGAGTCTATGCTTTTAACCACTTCTCTTTGCTAGACTGAGAAGAATGGGGTGGGGAAGGGAATGTACACAGGCCATTGTAGTCACCTAAGAGAGAGATGATTGTGTATTAGACTAGGATAGGGGTTTAGATGGAATAAAGTAAAAATATCTAAAAAACAAAAGCAAACAAAAAATCCTTAAAGGATTCTGGGTCTATTTGTCTTTTCCTTTTGTCTTCTGAATGTTTAACCACAGGAGAATGTCTCAGGAACCTAGGACATACTCCCTTTTCCTGTTCCTTTTTCTGAGCCATGCAGTGGTATGTCGGAGAGTTCCAAATTCCAGGCAGGGTAAGTCCTGAGGGAGGGATCACTCTACATGGTTTCTACACATGTTAGAAAATGAAGTGTGTTTGGTATAGATGAATTTATATGCATGATGCTTTAGAGTGTTTTGGAGTATGTGTGTGTGTATGAAGGATTTTCAGGATTATTCTGGAAGAGTTTTTGAAACTAAGGTTTTCCCATACTGGGTACATATGGACATAGGTATGGTTAAAATTCACTAAAAATTTCCATCATGACTGACTGTTTTGGGCTCTTTACCTAACCCATATTTGTATTTTTGAAGGTCACATAATTCAGTTCTAGTTAGACATTCAATGACTTTCTTACAGATTTGCATCCATTGTTGCAAAAAATGGCAGTAAGTATTCCATTTTCTTTTAATCAAAATCCCCTCTACTGGAACATGCCAACTTTTGGATGTTATAGTTGACGTTATCTCTTTGCCTTTTAGGAAGAAATAATAGAGGGAAGCTATCTGAATGGTAATGAATCCACTCTGTCCCCGCTTGCTTCTTCCAAGAATTTCAAACAGAATGCAGCTGTGATCTCTCTGGAATGACTCCTTTTTAAGTTGTCTTTTCATTTTATTCCCATTGTAGCGTTACTGGATCTCATACAGTTTCAAAGGTAACCCATCCTAGAGAGGAGGGGAGGAGAGGAGATGGGATAGATTTTTAATAAATATTATTAATGGAAGTTTCTTAATTGTACAAAGTAATGCATACTCATTACAAAAATGTCAATCAATGCACAAGTGCTCTCAAGTAGACACATTTATTCCAGACACATTTATTCTTCCTCCACTCTAGTAGAAGAACTAACATTTATCAAGTGCGTACTATGATAAGCATGTCTGTTCTATCCGTATAAACTCATTTAATCCTCACAAGTACCTCTTGAGGTAGGTCCTGTTGTTATCCCATTGCATAGAATAATGAAACTGAGGCACAGGGAAATAATAAAAAATCACTTGCTCAAGTTCACACAGCTAAGAAGTGATGAATTTGACTTGTGCACTGAGCAGCCTGGCTCCAGGGCCCACTTCCTTCACTGCCGTCCTATATACTGCGTGCTGCACACTGCCTGTGTTAGGCCCTGGGGACATGGACAGGGAGATACAGAGTGCTGTGGGAAGACAAATATTGACAAGTAATTCTAAAATGATGAGTTCTATGAAGGAGAAGAAATGGGGGCCATGGGGCCCCATTATGTGAAAGATAGCCAAAAATACTCTTCCCTCCAAAATAGCCCCAGTTGATAGTTTTGGGCATATCCTTTCAGGCTAAAATTTTTATTTATTTATTCATTCATTCATTTATTTGTTTACTTATATACAACAAAAATAGGATTATAAAAGACAATTAAACAAAAAACCCAAACCCACTGCTGTTGAGTTGATTCTGACTCATAGTGACCCTATAGTGACCTTATAGGACAGAGTAGAACTACCTCATAGGATTTCCAAGGAGCAGCTGGTGGATTCGAACTGCCGACCTTTCGGTTAGCAGCCAAGCTCTTAACCACTGTGCCACCAGGGCTCCAAAAGGCAATTAGTGAGCATTTGTTTACTGTGTTGGACAGCATTCTAAGCACTTTACGTGTGTGTGAACTAATTTAATTTTCATAGTTATTATCCATATTGCATAGAAAGAAAACTGAAGCCCAGAGAAATTAACCAAATATGCCGAAGGTCACACAACTAAGTGGTAGAGCAACGATTCAAATCAGGTTTTGAGCCAACACTCCTAACAGTGCATATACCAGTCTCCTGTATACATAGCGTCTGACTTTTAAACTTAATATAGTACAGACATCTTTCCAAATCAATATATTTGGATTTAAGTGGATTGTTTGGGGAATTAGAATATTGCAGACAGCTCAGAAATTGATCACTGTCTTTGAGAGAATGGGATCCAGGCAGAGTTCTAGGATTAGAAACTTCCCATCGTGAGGCTAGATTAACAAATCTCCTGCTTTGAAGAACGACGCTCCTAGTATCCCTGGCCCGTTCCTCCCATCCTCTCTGGAGTCCCCTGGGGGCACTCAGCTAGTGTAGCACTGCTTATAGGGTAACCTGTCATCCCGACCTTCTCCTGTTTGTCTTCGGCTGAAGCTCCCACGTGTGGACGGCTGACCTGCCTCACAGAGTCCTGGCCTATCTGAATTCGCGGAATGTCGCCTTCACCATCGCCAGCCTGCAGGTGAGTACTTGAGCCCCATCAGTATGTTCCCCTCTCAGTGCTCAAGGATTGCAAACTCAGGGGCCAGGTAAGTTGGAGAAGTGGGCTGGGGGTAGAAATGTACTTCACTCTCAAAATTACAGTGGTTCACCTCTGCTTTCAGTGATGTCACATTGATAACTTGAAATCAATCATGGTGGGAGTATTTACACCATGGAAATTGGTAAATGCTACAGATCAGGACTGGGCAGTGTTTCATTCTGTTGTACATAGGGTCACTACGAGTCGGAACTGACTCGATGGCACTTAACAACAACAACAACAGATCAGGGCTTGATTTATTGCTTTGCTGATTGTCTAGATTTAAGAAAGTGGTGGAGAAAATGTTAATGATGCAGATGAAACTTAAAAGTGTGCTGTGTCTGTTGCCATTAGATTGTGAATAACACAGAAAATTGAGGAACTATTCTTTCAAGTATTCACAAACTATTATCTGAGTGGCACATTATTAGTCATTGTCACTGAATTTTAACTGTGGAAGTTGTGCTGGCTAATGTTGGTATGTATATTTTCACAATAAAAAAAAGATAATTGTCTGATTCAGCCAAGAAGTCACTCACATCATTGACAAACAAGTTCTGACATACGTCTTTGTTGCTTCAATTTCTTCTTGCTCTTTAATGTAAATAAAAATATCAACCAACAGTCTCGTCAGAACTACAGTCAGAGCACTGGTTGTTATCCATTTACCAGGACACCACTAGCTGGAGGTGACTGATGGCCTCATGGCATTTGCGTTCTTTCTTGCATACATCAGTCTGCAGCAACCCAAAGAGAGGCAATTCCTCCCTTTTCCTCTTTATCAATAATGTTTCTCATGAGATGTGTATACTTTAATCTAAGACATACTATCTCTCTTTATATATATATGTATATAAACTCATGGCAAGCCCATATGTGTCAGAGTAGAACTACATTCCATAGGGTTTTCATTGGCTGTGACTCTTTGGAAATGAATTACCAAGCCTTTCTTCTGAGGTGCCTCTGGGTGATCTTGAACTGCCAGCCTTTTTGTTAGTAGCCAAGCACTTAACCATTTGCACCACCCAGGAATTACACACACACACACACATTTTTTCATCCAAAATTTATTTATTTAGCATCTACTTTTGGAGCCCTGGTGGCGCAGTGGTTAAGAGCTCGTCCACTTGGCTCCTCTGATTATCACCAGGTGGGGATGCATGCCCAGAGTTGCCAGATCTTTGCATTTACCAAGAGAAGTTGGAAATCTGAATTCTTGTGAGAAATCCCCTGACTTAAATATTGGCAGCTAATGAAACATTTTGGAGCTGGCCAGTTGGAATGTCTGCAAGATGCCTGTATGTAGTCTCTGCTGTAAAGTAGGTGCAATGGCCGGGCCGCTGGCCATGGTGCTCACCATGAGCTCCCATCCTGTCCCGACTGACTCTCCTGACTGCACATCTAGGCAGCCATGGAAAATCACCTGGAGCAGCGTTTGTACCAGCCCCAGAAGCTACTGGAAGACCTGAGGGAAACAGATGCTCAGCGTTTCCGCACTGCTATGAAATGCCTCTTAGAAGACAAGAAGGACCACTTGGTGAGATGTTCTTGGCATCTTGGGAGTAGGGTAGTCCAGGACTAGTGGTTATTTATGGAATTGAATGAGTCTGACTCAGACCTTGGTCCTTCTATATCTCTCCCTCCCTTTTTCTCCCTCCCCAATCCCCCGGGAAGCTTCAGATCCTTGGTTCTCACTTACTCCAAAGATCAAATGAAGAGCCTTACAGTTCATGTTCTTATGGCTACTAAGAAGTGAGGAGGAACTGAAGACCTTCCAGTAATTTTGTTCATAAACATCCATGAATGATAACTTTGCACCAGCAGGCACTGGGTTCAGAAATGAAAGACTATCTGCCCTCAAGTAGCTTACAGTCTGCAGGGGAGACAGAAAACCGAAGCAGATCAGTTTTACAAAATGAAGTTAGTGACATAAGAGCATTACAAAGCAAAGCCTCTGGATCCAAAAGGTCCTTGGGATCCAGAAGGGTGAGGCTTAGTGTTTTCTTTGTTGGAGACAGTTTAGTGTGGAGCAGTGTTTCCCAAAAAGAGTTGAAACATATAAACATTTTGATCATTATGTGTTTATTTTAATGTCAATTATTAAAATACAATGACCACTTCAAATCTGTAAGTGTGGTAGGGATGTAATATTTTCCTTTGAAATGAATTTAAGTTAAAAAAGAGTTTGTAAAGAAAAATATGATGTAAATAATAGTGAAGGCAGTACAAAGATATGGCAAAAATTGTCGTGGTCTGTGAGACTAAGAACGATTAATGTGTGTTGAGGGTTTACTACATGTCAGGTATTATTCAGGGGAGTGGTCAGCAAACTTTTCTGTGAAGACTAAACCTGTTGCTATTGAGTCGATTCCAACTCATAGTGACACTCTAGGATGGAGTAGAACTACCCCACAGGGTTTCCAAGGCTGTAGTCTTTACTGAGGAGCCGTGGTGGTGCAGTGGTTAAGAGCTCAGCTGCTAACCAAAAGGTTGGCAGTTCGAATCCACCAGCTGCTCCTTGGAAACCCTATGGGGCAGTTCTACTCTGTTCTGTAGAGTCTCTGTGAGTTGGAATCGACTTGATGGCAATGGGCAATCTTGACTGAAGTGGATTGCCACATCTTTGTCCTGCAGAGCAGCTGGTGGGTTTGAACCACCGACCTTTTGGTTAGCAGTTGAGCGCTTAACCACTATGCCACCAGGGCTCCTTGTAAAGGACTAGATAGTAAATATTTGAAGCTTTATGGACCACACCATCTCTGTTGCAATCACTGACTTCTGGCATTGTAGCTCCAAAGCAGCCATAGATGATAGGTAAACAAATGGGCATAGCCATGTTCTAGTGTCTTAGTTACCTAGTGCTGCTATAACAGAAATACCACAAGTGTATGGCTTTTAACAAACAGAAATTTATTCTCTCACAGTTTAGAAGACTAGAAATTTGAATTCAAGGTACCAGCTCTAGCGGAAGACTTTCTCTTTCTGTTGTTTCTGGGGGAATGTCCTTGTCTCCTTTCAACATCTGTGGACCCGGTGTTCCTTGGAGATCTTCCCCCAGGTCTAGGACGTTCTCAGTGTAGGGAACCCAGGTCCAAAGGATGTGCTCTGCTCCCAGCTCTTCTTTCTCAACAGTAGCAGGTCCCCTGATCTCTGCTCCTTTGTTTAATCTCTTTTACATCTCAAAAGAGATTGACTCAAGATACAACCTAATCCTGTAGATTATACCCTGCCTGCCTCAGTAATATAACTGCCTCTAATCCTGCCTCAGTAACATTATGGAGGTTAGGATTTACAATACATAGGATAATTACACCCGATCACAAAACTGGAGGTCAGATGAGAAGATTGCAGGGTCAAGAGAGAGAGTGAGCTTTGCCAGAATATCCATTTATACACTATGCAGGCCACACTCCCAAAGAAACTCCTCTTCCAATGGATTGGCTGCTCACATCAGATCACAAAATGAAAGGTGATTACATAGTGTCTGCCAAACCGCTGAGAATCATAGCCTAGCTAAGTTGACATGTAAGATTAACCATCATACCTGTGATATTGAGATGTAATAGCATATTATGTTTGCTGAGTGTTTAGTAGGCACCAGGCATTTTACATTTATTATCTCATTGAATTCTTACACACTTCTAAGAGATGGGCACTAGTTTTATCTCCATTTTATAGAGGAGGAAACTGAGACTTAAAAAGGGTAAATAATGTGTGCAAGTACACATAGACAATAAGTGCAGAGCTTGGGATTCGAACCTAGGAATGTCTGGCCCTAGGACTATTGGGTTTAACCTACAGGACAGTCATGAGAATTAAATGAAACGATGCATGCTTGCTCCATGCTTGGCATGGTGCCTGGTGTGTAGTCAATGCTCAGTAAAGTGGCGGCTGTTATTTTTGGAGGGTGTGTTGGGTGAAGGTCAGAGGGATCAGTCACATTGGAACTTAAGCTTGTCAGCATTCCTGGGTTTTGTGGTCCAAATTAATTACTCATTCATTCATGCTAACAGGCTGTTTTTTCAGTGTCTTCTAGGTACCAGACACTCCATAGGCACATGGCTTGGCCCTCAAGGACTTTTCTGGCTTAACTCTGGCTGCACATTAGATCAACTAGTTGTGTGGGCTCCACTCCAGACCAATTAAATCAGAATCTAGGGGGGTGGTGCTGGGAATCAGTATTTTTTAAAAGCTCCCCAGGTGATTCTTTTTTTTTTTTTTTTAAATTGTGCTTTAGGTGAAAGTTTACAGCTGAAGTTAATTTTTCGTTCAGAAATGTATACATATTGTTTGTGACACTTGTTGCAATCCCCACAATGTGACAGCACACTCCCTCTTTCCACCCAGGGTTGTCTGTGTCCGTTCGTCCAGTTCCTGTCCCTTCCTGCCTTCTTATCTTGCTTTTGAACAGGAGCTGCCGATTTGTTCTTATATATTTGATTGAACTAAGGCGCACATTCCTCCCTTGGGTTATTTTTTGTTTTGTAGGACCGTCTAATCTTTGTCTGAAAAGTGAGCTTTGGGAATGGTTTCTGTTCTGGACTAGCAGGGTGTCCAGGGGCCATAGTCTCAGGGGTTCCTCCAGTCTCTGTCAGATCAGTAAGTCTGGTTTTTTTTCTTGAATTTGAATTTTGTTCTTCGGTTTTCTCCTGCTGTGTCCGGGACTCTCTGTTGTGATCCCTGTCAGAGCAGTCAGGGGTGATAGCTGGACACCATCCAGTTCTGGTGGAGTCCCTGGTTCGTGTGGTCCTTTAGTTCTTTGGGTCCCCAGGTGATACTGAAGTGTAGCCAGGAGTGAGAACCATTGGTTTGCAGGCAAGACAGACCCATAAACATCTAAATGCATCGTAGGGCTTCATTCAGAATGCTCCAGGAGCACATAGTAGAGGGAGATTCATTCTGACTGAGGTCGGAGGGGATCAGAGAACATTTCACCGAGGAGGTGATGATTGAACTTGGCCATAAAGGATGAGCTGGATTTCTCTAAGGAGTCCTCGGGTGGCACAGACGGTTAAGTGCTTGACTACTAACTGGAAGGTTGGTGGTTTGAATCCACCCAGAGGTGGCTTGGAGGAAAGGCCTGCTGATCTGCTTCTGAAAGATCACAGTCATTGAAAACCCTATGGAACGCAGTTCTACTCTGACACACATGGGGTCACTATGAGTTGGAATCTGGTTTGGCAACTGGTTTGGGGTTTTCTGGTTTTGGATTTCTGTAGGAGAAGGAGATGGGAAGTACATTCCAGCTAGAGCAAGGCCTGAAGGGTAATAGTCATAGTGTGTCTGAACAGTGAGAAGTCACCTAGTGTGGGTGGAACAGGTGAAGGCTTTGACTTCGTTCTGTAGGCGATGAAGAGTTCTGGAAGGTTTGACATAGCAGCATGATGTAGAACAGTGGTTCTAGATTTCTCCACTACTGCAAAGTGTGGTCTCTCCAGGGGCTTCCAAATTAAGAGGCAGCTCTCAAAACAACCCTGGTGTCTCCCATTCCTTCAGGAGCTGGAGGACGTCGTCATTGACTTGAGAGAAATTCGGGAACGAGCTTTGCAGAGCCCTGGTGTGATCCGCAGCCTGTTTCTCATCACGCTGGAGAGGTGTTTCCAGGTGCTGAATGCCCTGGAGTGTGTGGAGATCCTGGGCAGGGTGCTGAGACGGTCCTCAGGCAGCTTTATCCAGCCGGACATCACACAGAGGCTCCCCCAGGACCTTCATGAGGATGCCTTTAAGAACCTGTGAGTATTTCCTTCCAACCCTCTTAACTCCACACCATATTCCTCAGTAGCTGTTGGGAGAATTCAAGGAGGGGAGAAGGCAGATGGGGAGGTTCAGATGTGAAGTCTGGAGCAGCTTAAAATTTGTATTTAGACGTGGTTTGATTAAAACAGTGTCTTCCAAATGTTAATCCTTCTTCTACCATTCTCACAATTTTAACTATATCTGAACCTTGGTGGTGCAATGGTTAAGCCTTCGGCTGCTAACCAAAAGGTCGGCCATTCAAACCCATTCAAACCCACCAGCGGCTTCGTGGGAGAAGAAAACCTGGTGATCTGCTCCCAGAAAGACTACAGCCTAGGAAACCTTATAGGGCAGTTCTACTCTGTCCAGTAGGGTTGCTATGAGTCAACAACATACACCACTTGCACTATTGCTGTTTTTCTTTATATCGACTCATTCTTTTTACTTAAAATATTTATTTAAAAAGTAAAGTTGATATCATTACTGTAAATAGGAAACCAATATCATTTGTAACCATAAAAGTAAATACAATGAAAACAAACATGTCACTAATCCTAGCTAGACATGTTGACTGTGAGGCTCTGAGCCTACAGCCTATTCTCTTACTTAAAAAGGAAATTTGTTGTTAGCTGACGTCGATAGACTGTGGCTCATAGTGACCTTATGTATAACAGAACAAAACGTTGTCTCGTCCCATGCCATCTTCATGATCATAGCTATGTTTGAGTCCATTGTTTCAGCCACTGTATCAATCCATCTCATCGAGGGCTTCCTTCACCTCCACAGATTCTCCACTTTACCAACCATGATGTCCTTTTTAAGTGATTGATCTTTCCTAATGATGTCCCCAAAGTAAGCGAGCCAAAGTCTCACCATTCTCGCTTCTAAGGAGTATTCTGGTTGTATTTCTTCCAAGACTGATGTATTTGTTCTCCTGGCAGTCCACAGTATATTCAGTATTCTTCCCCAACACCACAACTGGAAGGAGATTAGCATGTGTTAAAAACCTACTGGAGTCCCTAGGTGGTGCAAATGGTTAGTGCCCTTGGTTACTAAACAAAAGGTTGGCAGTTTGAGTCCACCCAGAGGTGACTTGAGAGAAAGGCTTGTCGATCTATTTCAGAAAAATCAGCCTATGGAGAATGTAGAATGGTACAACCACTTTGGAAATCAATTTGGTGCTTCCTTAAAACCCTAGAAATAGAAGTACCATACGATCTAGCAATACCACTCCTTGGAATATATCCTAGAGAAATAAGAGCCATCACACGAATAGGTATATGCACATCTATGTTCATTGCAGCACTATTCACGATAGCAAAAAGATGAAAACAACCTAGGTGCCCATCGACGGACGAATGGATAAACAAATTATGGTATAGTCACACAGTGGAATACTATGAAACAATAAAGAGCAATGATGAATCCGTGAAACATCTCATAACATGGATGAATCTGGAAGGCATTATGCTGAGTGAAGTTACTCAGTCACAAAAGGACAAATATTGTATGAGACCACTATTGTAAGAACTCAAGAAAAGGTTTAAACACAGAAGAAAACATTCTTTGATGATTACGAGGGTGGGGAGGGAGGGAGAGAGGAATTCACTAACTAGGTAGTAGATAAGAATTATCTTAGATGAAGAGAAGGACAACACCCAATACAGGGGAAGTCAGCACAACTGGACTAAACCAAAAGCAAGAAGTTTCCTGAACACAACCAAACACTTCAAGGGACAAAGTAGTAGGGGCGGGGATCTGGGGACCATGGTTTCAGGGGACATCTAGGTCAGTTGGCGTAACAAAGTTTATTAAGAAAGTGTTCTGTATCCCACTTTGGTGAGTGGTGTCTGGGGTCTTAAAAGCTAGCGAGTGGCCATCTAAGATGCATCAATTTGTCCCAACCTACCTGGAGCAAAGGAGAAGGAAGAACACTAAAGACACAAGGAAAATATTAGCCCAAGAGACAGAAAGGGCCACATAAACCAGAGACTGCATCAGCCTGAGACCAGAAGAACTAGATGGTGCCCAGCTACCACCAATGACTGCCCTGACAGGGAACACAACAG